CTAGCTGCCCACCCAGCCACCTGACCGCCCAGAGACCATCAAAGCTAGCTGCCTACAAGCTAGCTAGCTGCGGCCAACTGGCTAGCTAGCCACGTAGACATCTAGCTACCTCTTTAACTAGCTAGCTAGCTAGCTAGCTAGCTAGCTAGCTAGTTAAATGGCTAGCTAGCTAGCTAGCTAGCTGCTTCACCTTTTCTGCTTCAGACATGTCGCTGAGTCTCCTGATCCCTGAGGGTCTTCGCATCTCTTGGCTTTTTGCTTCTCCATTTTCTTGCTGCTGCGCTGCAGCACTTTGCTGCTGCTGCTGCTGCTGCTGCTGCTGCTTGTGTCTAGCTGAAGGCAAACGCTGCGGGAGAGACTCTGCTGCTGTTGCAGCAGCAGCAGCAGGGCCGGGCGGGCTGCTGCTGCGCTGCTGCGTCAGCCTGCTGCTGGACGCGATGCTGCTGCTGCTGGGGGCCCTCTTGGCATGTTTTGCTGCTGCTGCTGCTGCTGCTGCTGCTTCGGCCGGTGCTGCTGCTGCTGCAGGTGCGGATTCGGTGGAGTTCCTTTTGCTGCTGTTGCTGCTGTTGCTGCCGAAGCTGCGCGACAGCGAGCTGCTGTGCCTGCGGGGGACTCCCTGCTGCTGCTGCTGCTGCTGCTGCTGCTGCTGCTGCTGCTGCTGCTTGTGGTGCCGCAGCAGCTCCTGCTGCTCGCGAGAGCGCCGCAGCGACTCCTCCAGTCTGTACACCTCAGAGCTCACGCGGTTTCTGAGTTTTCTATTTTGAGATTTATTTCTTTTTGCTGCTGCAGCAAACAGCAAAAGACATAAAACAGAAGCAACAATTTGCTGCTGCTGCTGCTGCTGCAGCAAAAAGCAGCAAAAGACATGAAGCAGAAGCAGTAATTTGCTGCTGCTGCTGCAGCAAACAGCAAAAGACATGAAGCAGAAGCAGCAATTTGCTGCTGCTGCTGCAGCAAACAGCAAAAGACATGAAGCAGAAGCAACAATTTGCTGCTGCTGCTGCAGCAAAAAGCAAATTGCATTGAAGCAGAAGCAGCGATTTGCTGCTGCTGCTGCAGCAAACAGCAAAAGACATGAAGCAGAAGCAGCAGTTTGCTGCTGCTGCTGCAGCAAAAAGCAGAGTGCATTGAAGCAGAAGCAGCAAGGGTGCTGCTGCTGCTGCTGCTGCAGCAAACGGACTTGCAAGAAAAACGCAGTTCAAGTTGCAGCAGCACTTTTCTTTTCCTTTCCTCTCTTCTTTGCATGCAACTTTTTATTAGTTTTTAAAATTTTAATTAATTAAAGTTTATTTATTTTCAAATTCCACTTTTAAAACGCAAAAGGAGTCCAATACACTTCAGGAGGTTGTCGCGCGCGCGAGCTCCGGGTGTACGTACACCCCAACTCGACAGAAACACGAAAGTGGAAATTCAGATTCATTAAAACAAAATATATTTTATTTTATTTGAAAAGAATAAATATTAAATAAATGCCAAATTATTGTTAAATAAATGCCAAAATGGGATAAATAAAACAAATCAACTCGACGAATGGAGCAAAATCTAGGGTTTAGGGTTTAGGGTTTAGGGTTTAGGGTTTAGGGTTTAGGTTTGCACCTCTTGCCAAGCTGGGCGCATCTGCGCTGTCGCTTTCGAAATCCAGTAAGTCGTCATCTGCAGCAGCAGCAGCAGCAGCAGCAGCAGCAGCAGCAGCAGCAGTTGCAGCAGCAGCAGCAGCAAAAGGAAAAAAGCAATTTTAAAGAGTTTTTAAAAGAAAACAAAAGATTAAAAAAACAAAAAGAATCGAAAAATGGACTTTCCAAAAAGCACCAAAATTAAGAATTCAAATTCAAAAAAAAAGAATAGCAGCACACAAAATAGTCCCTTCGTCTTCCTGCCACGCTGCTAAGGCCTAAACCCTAAACCCTAAACCCTAAACCCTAAACCCTAAACCCTAAACCCTAAACCCTAAACACCAAAAGGAACACTAAAGGGTTAGAAGCCAGGCCCGTCAACAGGTCGCGCCAAAGCTGCAGCAGAACAAAGCGCTGTCTGCCTTAGCCGCTGTAATAGCTGTCAACCTCCGCAAACCCTAAACCCTAAACCCTAAACCCTAAACCCTAAACCCTAAACCCTAAACCCACCTGATAAGCCTATGTGCGCAGCTATGCGGTCGTAAGGGGCCACCCCCAAGTCAGCCTCGTCGGTGCAGCAGAAAGAGCACAAGTCCATTTTGCTGCGGGTTGTGCTGCACGGGCAGAGGCTTAACTGCTGAAATCAAAGGATTTGCTGCTGCTGCTGCTGCTGCTGCTGCTGCTGCTGCTGCTGCTGCTGCTGCTGCTGCTGCTGCTGCTGCTGTGGAGTCAGAGAAGGCCTCGAGATCGCCCCTAAGTGCATTATTGCCCCTTGGTGCCGCAGAGGCAGATCACTTCATTGTCTGCGCTGCAGCAGCAGCAGCAGCAGCAGCAGCAGCAGCAGCAGCAGCAGCGGCTGCGGGACCAGCAGGAGGCGCTAGGCGGCGCTTGTTGCTGCAGTTCTTCAGCAACAGCTGGTGAAACAAAGAAGAAAAACTTGGAAAAATAAGTAAAGAAGTTAAAAGCAAAGGACGAAGGAAGTAATGGAGCTTACAGAAACCGACATGAGACGGTCGCCGCGATGCAGCCGGAAGGCTCCCCGCAGAAAGCTAGGGAAAGCGGCTGCTAAACCTGCACATTTCAAACTCTCTGGGAAATCCAAAGAAAAGGTACTTGTATTTATTCTGTTGCATGCAAAAAGAGCAACAATTACCCGGTGAACTGCTGCAGATCGGCCCCAGGTGCTCTTGCGGGCCGCTGCAGTTCTCGCTGTCGCGGAAGCCACCCGCCTCGACCAGTGGACTTTTGCGTCTTTTTCTCCCAATTTTTCCTGAAAAAGACTCAAAATAATACTAATAATGCACTCTCTGCGTTTCAAGGGTCAGATCTTTGGGTTTTTTAGCAGCAGAAGAAACGTGAACGGCCGCCTGCAGCAACTGTCGAGTGTCGATACACCCGGCGCCGCCGCCGCAGCGGCGAAACCTGTACTTTCGGTTTCCTGCAGAATTAAAAGAATTATTTCGGAAAATAAATTCTGTTTTCGCAATTAAGTTGTTTTGTTTTACCTAAATGGCCCTTTTCTTCCTCGCTTTCCCGCGCGAGCGGACTGCCGGCCGCCGCCGAACCAAAGCGAAATAATTCAAGTTCTCATCTTTGCCTTTTCGCCTTTTCGTGCAGATTCTTTGCAGACAAATCAGCAGCGGCATCGCCGCAAGTTTTGATTTCAATTTTCAACACGAATGGCGAATAAGAGAGTGTAAGAACGGATTCATTCATTTGCTTTCCAGTTTCGCGAGTTTGCAGGCCCGAAGAGCCTTTTTGGCACTTTTCAGGTTCGAATTTTCCACTTTTTACTCCTTTTTCTCTCCTTTTTAACCTTAATTGCATGCAGCAGCAGCTGCAGAGAGTTCGAACTGGAAAAAGCTGCGAAAGTTTCGCTTTAAGTGGCAAACAGATTCAGGCGAAGTCAACAAACCAAGTTGCTGCATGCAGCCCCAAGCCGCCATTCTAGCCAGTTGTTAGCTAGCTATTTTAAAGCACTTGAGGCATTTCAGGTTTATTAATAATAATATATTTATGCAAATATGTTTATTTCCAAGTTTGCATTATTTTATTTTATTTTATTTTATTTTATTTTATTTTATTTTATTTTGTTTTATTTTATTTTATTTTATTTTATTTTATTTTATTTGCATGCGTTTTGAATATTTGCTGCTGTGCCTATAAGCAGCTGCCAATTCGCTGCAGCAATTCGTTTGCTGCTGGCGAGCTTTTGTCCTTAGTCCAGAGCTGCTGCTGCTGCTGCTGCTGCTGCTGCAGCGTTCCTTATTAATTCGGAGCTGCTGCTGCTGCTCTTGCTGCTGCTGCTGCTGCTGCTGCAGCAGCACTCTTCGGTCTCGTTTTGCTGCTGTTCATGTAAGCAACTCTGTTGTCTTCGGGTTTGCCAACAAGAAACCACCAACAGCGTCCTGCTGCTGCTGCTGCTGCTGCTGCTGCTGCTGCTGCCAATGTTGCTGCTGCTGTCGGCCTCGCGGCACCTGCTGCTGCTGCTGCTGCCGCTGCGGCTGCCGGCGCTGCTGCTGCTGCTGCTGCTGCTGCTGTCAACAAGTGAAACGTTGCAGCAGCAAAAAAGCAAAAAAATGAACAAATAAAAAACCAACCAACAAACAAACAAATTAATTAATTAATTAATTAATTAATTAATTAATTAATTAATTAATTAATTAATTAATTAATTGTTGTTATTGTTGTCTTCGGAGTCTGCTGCTTGCTGCACTTGCTGCGAAAAAGCCACGAGGGCCCCCCAGGGGGCCCCCCCCCCGAAGCAGGGCCCCAAGAGGGCCTCCAGGGGGCCCCCCTTCTCCAAAGTGTATTCCAAACCCTTTGTAGTAATTGCTGCCAAGGCGAAGCAAACTGTTCTGCTGAGTGGAGCTGCTGCTGCTGCGGGAAACCCGTACACCGTGCTGCAGCAGCAGCAGCAGCCGCAGCAGCAGCAGCAGCAGCAGCAGCAGCAGCAGCAGCAGCAGCGGCAGCAGCAGCAGCAGCAGCAGCAGCAGCAAAGAGGAGCGACGCACCGTTTTTTCGGCTTTATTTAAGCATTTATTTTTTTATTTATTTGTTATTTTATTTGTTTACTTATATATTTATTTATTTATTTATTTATTTACTTATTTATTTATTTGTTTTCCAAAATCGACTTCAAAATGCCACAAAAAGCCCCCCAAGAGTCCAGAAAAGGTGCAACAAAATGCCAATAAATTGCCAATAAAATGCCAATAAAACGCCAATAAATTGCCAATAAAACGCCAATAAATTGCCAATAAAATGCCACAAAAGTGCCGCAAAAATGCCACTAAAATGCCACTAAAATGCCACAAAAGTGCCGCAAAAATGCCACAAAAGTGCCACAAAAATGCCAATAAAGTGCCACAAAAATGCCAATAAAGTGCCACAAAAATGCCAATAAAGTACCACAAAAATGCATTTAAAAAATCGCCAAAATGCCACAAAAACTCCGCAAAAGGTCCCCGCAAACTGCGTCAAAAGCGCAGCAAAAGTTGCGCAAAAGCCTCCCGAAACTGCCAACAAAACTCCAACAAAAGCCGCTTTAAACTCCCTTTAAACTCCCTTTAACCTCCCTTTAAATTCCCTTTAAACTCTCTTTAAACTCCCTTTAAACTCCCTTTAAACTCCCTTTAAACTCCCTTCAAAAGGCCTTCAAAAGGCCTTCAAAAGGCTTCTAAAATGTCTTTTAAAAGCTCCAAAAAAGCCAAAAAAAGCAAAAAAACTTCAAAAAAACTTCAAAAAAAACTTCAAAAAAGCCCTAAAATCGGCTTTTCTCACTCGAGAAAATGCGCCACTGGAGAGACACTGAAGGGCCGCGCGACCGCCTCGAGCGCGAAGGCCGTCAGCTCTTTGGCCTGAAAAGAAATCAAAAATAATTAAATTAATTAATTTAATTAATTTAATTAATTTAATTTAATTAATTTGATTAATTTAATTCAATTAATTAATTAAATTAATTGATTTAATTGATTGATTAATTAATTAATTAATGCAGTTGAATTTGATGCTTTAAATTCATTTGGAGGAGGCAAATTGAACTGCTCACAAAGCGAAAAGTTGAGTCCATTTTGAATCATTTTAATTCATTTTAATTCATTTTAATTCATTTTAATTCATTTTAATTCATTTTAATTCATTTTAATTCATTTTATATCATTTTAAATTCATTCAAATTCATTCAAATTCATTTAAGTTCTTTTAAATCATTTTGAATTCATTTTAATTCATTTTAGAACATTTTTTATTCATTATAGGTCATTTTAAATTCATTTTGATTCACTTTAGACATTTTAAATGCATTTAAGATCATTTTGGATCATTTTAATCCATTTTAGATAACTTTAAATTCATTTTAAATCATTTTAGATCATTTAGAGTTCATTTGGATCCATTTTAGATCATTTCATTGCATTTACGGTCATTTAAGATCCTTTCAGAATATTCTGAATCAATTCTGACAATTTTAGATCATTTTTAATCACTTGAAGTTCATTTTGAATGCATTTTTAACCAATTTAAATCATTTTAGATCATTTTAGATTATTTTAAATCATTTGAAATCATTTGAAATCATTTTAAATCATTTTAAATCATTTTAAATCATTTGAAATCATTTTAAATCATTGTAAATCATTTATAGTTCATTTTAAACGCATTTAAATCGATTTAAACCATTTAAAATCATCTACAGTTCGTTTCAAATGCGCTTAAAGTCATTTTAACTCCTTTCAAACCCTTTTAAACCCTTTCAAACCCTTTTAAACCCTTTCAAACCCCTTTAAACCCCTTTAACCCCTTTTTAAACCCTTTAAACCCTTTTTAAACCCTTTCAAACCCTTTTAAACCCCTTTAAACCCTTTCCAACCCCTTTAAACCCTTTTTAAACCCTTTCAAACCCTTTTTAAACCCTTTAAACCCTTTTTAAACCCTTTAAACCTTTTTAAAACCCTTAAACAGTTTAAATCCATTTTTTTTGGCGAAAAGGACCTTGGGGTCGTGGGGAAAGAAAGTGTCTTTTTGAATTTTGTAGTTGGCGAGAAAACTCAGAAAAGCCGCGAGAGCGAAGGCCAGTTTGTGGAGGCCTTTTTGCTGCTGCAGCAGCAGCAGCAAAGACTCGCGAGTGGTGCTGAAGAGTTTGCTGCTGCCGTCAGCAGCAACGCGCTCCAACTTGTCCTTTATGAACGCGTTTCCAAAGCGCTCCACGATCTTCTCCTTGTACCTGCCAAACCACGATTTAGGGTTTGCGCACTTGCGCCCAGTGCGAGGGTTTGGGGGTTTACGGAGTTTCGAGGGTTTGAGGGTTCAGGGAGTTTCGAGGGTTTGGGGGGGTTAGAGGGGTTCGAGGGTTTGAGGGTTTCGAGGGTTTCGAGGGTTTGGGGGTTTAGAGGGTTTCGAGGGTTTGAGGGTTTAGAGGGTTTCGAGGGTTTCGAGGGTTTGGGGGTTTCGAGGGTTTCGAGGGTTTGGGGGTTTAGAGGGTTTCGAGGGTTTGGGGGGTTTTGAGGGTTTGAGGGTTTAGAAGAGTTTAGAAGGGTTTAGAGAGGTTTGAAAATGTTTAGAAGGGTTTTAAGAGGGTTTTAAAAAGATTTTAAAAGG